CGCCTATGAACGCGTCGATCCTTTCTAGCCGGCCGACTGTTTGATTTGGGAAGTCCGGGGCTCGGCTCCCCTCAGGTGTCCTTGCGCCCTTCAGGCCCCACCCGAAGCTGCGTGGGAACCCAATAGGGCCTGGGTCCAGAAAATGGCAGCGGAGACTACTCGGCTGAACCGAAAGGCTCCCCAGTCTGTGAGACGCCGCGCCGGTCTCTCTCAATAGGAAACCTGAACCCAGCAAGTCTCACCTGAGCGGCTTCTTGGAGAGCGGGCACACCAGGAACTCCAGCAGTGCCGGGTCAAAGGCGCGGATCGGCTCCTCAGTCCTCCCGCTCTGGTCTGCCGACGGTAGTGACCCCGACGCGTGCAGCCACCTGCGGGCGACAAAGGCCAACGGCGCGTGTATCCCCCGCAGTCCTGAGGCAAGCCTGCCGCGCGCTCCACTCAGCATGGTCCGGCAACGGGCAACTACACCCTAGGCCAGGCTGTGTAGTGCTTCCGGCTCCGTCGAGCGCTGTGCCCAGGCCCCGCCCCCGCTGTGCTGTAGGAAACGCAGCCGGGAGCACACAAAGGCTGATGTTTTGGTTCCGAAGGTGCTCGTGACCCGTCTGCTTTGTAGTGCGTCACTGCTAAGCAGTGGTCAATTCATCGTGTTTATGAAACTTTAGACAAAACCAATGCTTAACTCGGGGTGTCTTGAATTTTATTTAGGGATGCCAGGAAGCCAGTGACCAGATCTCAGAGGCAAACAGCATTAGGCTTGGCAGTACGAAGCTAGCTATCTCCAAATGAAGTTTCAAGCTTTTTTGAAAAAGCATTAATTTGTTTAGTGTTTAATGTAAGTTCCTGTAACTTTGTTTTGGCTCCCTGTTTTTTTCCTTCAAATAAAATCTAAGAAAAGGCTTAAAACTCTTAACCTCCAAATTGTCCATATTTTTCATAATTCTTACCCTATAGGACTTAGTTGTGCTCATGCAGAACCTGTACACAGACCAAGAGGCAATTATAACAGAAGAAGGGGATACTGCATGGCTGAAAATCCAAAGAGCTGTGTGTCAGGGTTATATCCTTTCACAGTACTTACTAAATCTCCATGCTGTGCAAATAATCCAAGGAGCTGGACTTTATGAAGAACTTCATAAACATCAGGATTGGAGGACGACTGGATAACCTGTGATATGTAGGTGACACCACTTTGCTTGCTGAAAGTAAAGAGGATTTGAAGCATTTACCAATGAAAATCAAAGATTATACCTTTCAGTATGGATTACACCTCAATATAAAGAAAACAAAAGTTACAACTGGACCAGTAAGCAACATCATAATAGATGGAGAAAAGACTGAAGTTGACTTAGATCCACAATCAATGCCCACAGAAGCAGCAGTCAAGAAATCAAATGATGTGTTGCATTGGGCAGATCTACTGCAAGAGACCTCTTACAAGTGTTAAAAAAACAAAGATGTCACTTTGAGGACTATGGTGCACCTAACTTAAGCCATGGTATTTTCAGTTGCCTCATATGCATGTGAAAGATGAACAATACATAAGGAAGACTGAAGAAGAACTGATACCTTAAGGTGTTAGCAAAGAATATTTAATATACCATGGACTGCCAGAAGAACAAACAAATATGTTGGAAGAAATACAGCCAAATGCTCCTTAGAAGTGAGGATGAGGAGACTCTGTATCACGTACTTTGGATATGTTATCAGGAGGGGCCAGTCCCTGGAGAATGATATCATGCTTTGTAAAGTAGAGGGTCAGCAAAAAGAAAGAGGACCCTCAATGAGATAGATTCACACAGTCGATGGAACAATAGACTCAAATATAGAAACAGTTGTGAGGATGGCACAGAGCAGGGTCACTATGAGTTGGAATTTACCCAATGGAATATAACAATGATAGCATAGGACTCAGTCATTGCAATTTCATTGCATAATCGATTTTGACTCATAGCGACCCCTCCTTAGGTTGCCGAGGCGGTATCTCTACAGAAGTTGATTGCCCAGTCTTGCTTCCGAGGAGTGGCTGGTGGGTTTGAACTACCACCCTTCTCATTAGTAGTCAAATGCCTTAGGTACTACACCACTAGAGCTCCCAATTTACTGAGCTTAGAGGTAGCAAAAGGGAGCTCTGATAGTGCAGTGGTTAAAGCATTTAGGTGCAAACCAAAAGGTTGTGGTTTGAACACACCAGAGAAAGATGAGGTATTCTGCTTCCAAAAAAAGTACACCCTCAGAAACCTTATGGGGCAGTTCTACTCTGTCCTATATGGTTGCTCTGAGCGGGAACTGACTCAGAGGCAGTGGGTTTGGGGTTTGGAGTTAGCAAGGAGTAAATTCTTTGCATATTGAATATATTCAAATATGGAATATATTTAAAATATTGAATATATATAAAAATAATTGTGTAATTAGGCAGATGTCCATTAATCGAATGGCTTATAGGCCCCAAGTTTGGCTCTGACTGTCCAAAGGAGTGATGCAGGTTTTGATCTTATAGTGTAGTGTTCAGGTTACCTAATACTGCTCTGACAAGAATATACCACAAATGGGATGGCTTCAAGGAACAGGAGTTTATTCTCTTACAGTTTGGAAGCTTTAAGTCCGAGTTCAAAGTCCCAGGCTCTAGGGGCT